TCCTCTTAAACTATAAAAGCCTTTGAGTGGAAGTTTTAATGCTGAATGCAATGTTGCACCTCCAATGTTGAAAGCTGCACATCCTGTCGGAGCTGTGAGTTGAATAGAAGGATGTTCTGGGTCTTGTCCTGGTGTCTGCAGGTTACGAAAAGTTTGATGGTACAAAGCTTTTATAAGTCTGCGTTTCCCAGTACCAGCACCTCCAGACAGGAAAATATAGAAAGGGTCAGGGGACATTCCCATTCTCAAACGAGTGCACCAATCAGTGATATGAATAAAGAGTTCCTTTTGTTCACTGTTAAGACTACACACAATTTCTTGAATTTGGTCATCTGATTATTCCTGAGGTCTGATTGTGGTAGAATTGAGGTACTTGAGTGTACTTGAACTCTGTGGTGATCTTCAGTATCTTCATTTTCATTTAAATCACGGTTTCTTGCATCCTCTGCTTGACACAGGATCCCTCAGGATCAAGAAGGTCCCATGCATTTTGAGGCATTCCACCTTCTCTATACTGTTCCATTGAACAAGTTACGATGTACAAATGCTTTTCTATTATACTTTTGTTTTTTGCAGAATAATTGGTTTCATGTCTTGGTAAGATTCCTCATACAATGCGTGACCTTGAAGTAGATCTTCTTCTTTTCTCCATAAAAAATAAAAGCAAGAGCTGATGATAAATTTTTCAAATCTTTGTTTTAGGATACACCACATGATATTGTTTGAACAGCTGGTGTGTTTCTTTTCTTCATTACAATATCTGTGTCATGTAGTACAATGGTTTTAGGAAGATGATCATGATAACTTTGGTTTTGAATTGGTGGTTCATCTAAAACATCGTTTTCATGATCTGATTTAGATGAAGAGGAACTTTGTTCATACAGGGATGCAAACTTCGATAGACACACGTTGGTAAAGTGAGTGGTGTATGGCCTTATTGCATACTTATCAACAATGCTTCTGCAATATATGTCTGTGGATTCATCCGCCAGGGTTTCTAATATATTTTTTGACTTGAGAATACTTATTCTGTTTTCTTTGAAGTCAGTTGGTATCCAGATAATTTTGATATTACACACTTATTTCTCTATTTGTCAAGAAAAATGTCCTATATGTTTTAGCCATGATTTAACGTCGGAACTTCTCAGAGGCTGCATTTTTGAGCATTTGTGACATCTCTTTCTCATCTTTTGTGACGTATGCCACAATGTAGGCAACACAGGAGTATGATCACATACATACTGGAAATACCTATTGGCTTCCCAGTATTTTAATATATATTGGATTATCATGCTACTCTAAATCTTTACCACTTTCTGCTGGTGTTCTTTTCAAACAACAGTTCTCGATTTGGATACAGCCAAGGCTTTGTGGTATATGTCTGATGGCAACCTACACTTCTGAAGTAGGTCTTTGACACTGGTGTCAAAATCATCAGCAGATATTAAATGGTTGAACTGTTGACAAAATTATTTTGCTTCAGTTCTGTGTTACGTCTGTTGCAGCAGTTGGTAATTTATTTTATTTATTAATTTCAATTCTTTTTTATTTTAGCAAATGATACTTTTGAATAAAAATGTTAACCTATTTAGATAACATTTATGTATCTATTTACATGTAAATACACTTTTTATTCTAGCTGTTGAAAGTACACCTACCTTACATTTAAGTTTACAAACTTATTTCAGATAAGAATTGATTTCAAAGAATTATATAAAATAGTTTTAAAAGATTTTTTTTTAAATCGCATATGAGATACACTAATTAATGTACACTGTAAACTGATAATTGCTACCTTTTGAATAGCTAGAGTGTCACCAAAGTGCCCCAAAAGTTAAATTACTTCATGACTTCAATAGTTACATAAAAAGTGGAACTTCATTAGATACATGTGTTTAAAACTGACAATTCAGAACAAAACTTTCTTTGATTGTAATAGCTTAACTGACATTGTAATCATACTTGAAAAAACTTGAAATTAAATTTGAATTATCATGCCAAAAGTTTTGAAAGGGTGCATGTTGCCAATAGGATGGAGAAACACTCGAATCTGTTGTAAAAATTGAAAAGCCTGATCTTTAACTAAAATGTCTCTAACATTGTTGGGATCTTTTAATTGACCAGCTGTTATGTCCTGTCTGCGTGCCTTTCTCACAGCAATTGAAATAGCATCATCTACTTGCTTTTTCTCAGTGGCATACAAGGCATAGAATAAGTAAGACATGTTTGTTACAAATCTTGTGTCAACATTGGTAAGTCTTTGAGTAAAATATTTCTTTATTGATATTTTACAGTTTGATTTCTTGGATAACTCTTTTATGTCTGAAAATGTTCCTTTTCCATATGGAAAACAAACAGGAAAAGCTAGTGCTTCATAAATTTCATCCGCAAAAACATTGCGGGGAATTTCTCCTTCTCCAGGGGCGATATTGTAAGATTCCACACCAGTATGAACAATATTGGATGGATGTAGACACGTATCAAACTGAAGCCCCTGGACTTGAGTTTCTACAGAATCATCATTCTAGTTATTACTTTCTTCTTCAGTGATATCAATATTGTCTGAATCTATTTCTTATTTACCTCAACATTCTCTTCGATTTTAAGCTATGCCATAAATCTTCATCTTCCTCTTGACAGTTTGTTTCCCAGTTTGCATTTATTTGAACATGGTAAAGCACAGGTAACAGCTTATGCGATCATGCGTCCGGCGTCCGTCCGTCTGTCCGTCTGTCTGTAAACAATTTTTCAAAATGCTACTCCTTCTACAGTTTTGGTCTGATTTCAATATAACTTAGCACACAAGTAGACTACACTAAGATACATAATTCTGTGTATCGGTTTTTGATTTCGATGAACGATGTTGCCGTTTACTACTACGTAACCAAATAGAAATTTCTGTGAAATTCTTTCAAAATGCTACTCCTCCTACAGTTTTGGTCTGATTTCAGTATAACTTGGCACACAAGTAGAATACACTAAGATACATTAATTCTGTGTATCGGTTTTTGATTTCGATGAACGGTGTTGCCGTGGTTACTAAAAATAGAAATTTCTGTAAATTCTTTCAAAATGCTACTCCTCCTACAGTTTTGGTCTGATTTCAATATAACTTGGCACACAAGTACTTGCTTACACTAAGATACATAATTCTGTGTATCGGTTTTTGATTTCGATGAACGGTGTTGCCGTGGTTACTAAAAATAGAAATTTCTGTGAAATTCTTTCAAAATGCTACTCCTCCTACAGTTTTGGTCTGATTTCAGTATAACTTGGCACACAAGTAGAATACCCTAAGATACATAATTCTGTGTATCGGTTTTTGATTTCGATGAATGGTGTTGCCGTGGTTACTAGAACAATAGAAATTTCTGTGATATTCTTTCAAAATGCTACTCCTCCTACAGTTTTGGTCTGATTTCAGTATAACTTGGCACACAAGTAGAATACACTTATTTATAATTCTGTGTATCGGTTTTTGATTTCGATGAACGGTGTTGCCGTGGTTACTAAAAATAGAAATTTCTGTGAAATTCTTATGCGAAATGCTACTCCTCCTACAGTTTTGGTCTGATTTCAGTATAATTTGGCACACAATGCTATACACTAAGATACATAAATCTGTATTTCAATATAACTATCGGTTTTTGGTTTTTGATTTCGATGAACGATGTTGCCGTGGTTACTAAAAATAGAAATATCTGTAAAATTGTTTCAAAATGCTACTCCTCCTACAGTTTTGGTCTGATTTCAATATAACTTGGCACACAAGTAGAATACACTAAGATACATAATTCTGTGTATCAAATTTTAATTTTGATGAACTGTGTTGCCGTGGTTACTAAAAATTGAAATGTCTGTAAAATTGTTTCAAAATGCTACTCCTCCTACAGTTTTGGTCTGATTTCAATATAACTTGGCACACAGGTAGACTACACTAAGAACATAAAGAGACTTTATCATTAGTTTTGGTCTGATTTCGGTATATTGGCACATTATAATAGTTTCTGTGTATTGCTGCTTAATTTCGACTGAATGGTGTTCCGTTTGCTATAAGTTCAAACCAGTAGAGCTTCAGTCTCGACAGAGACTTCTGGTTTCTTCTTAGCCATGATAGACCCTGGTATACAGAGTATGGACGTATATTCTGGTGAATGTGATGTCCCTTGTAATTAATTTTTCTTTTTAGTTCAAGAGGAATTATTCCCCCTTGTGAGGGTGTCCTTGGCAAAACAGATGTTACTTTCTTTAAATTGATTGGTACATTTACTAAATTTCCTTTGAATCCTTTTTGGCCTCCACGCGGTAGGTTAAGTAATTTTTAGAAGAGAATGCGTAGCTAAGTTTACTCTCAATATAACTTGGCACACAAGATATTGTTACACTAAAAGATACATTTCTGGTATGACATCTAATTGGAAGCCATGTGCAGTTGCAAGTGGTGGAAGTTTGTTTGATTTTAAAATAGAGCTGCATGATTTACAGATGTATTCTTCACCATCAAATGATTTGCAACCAGTGAATGCTTGTGCTATGATTTCAGAATTTGTGTTCTTGAATTTTTTTTGTTTAGCTTGAATAACAGTGCTTTTAAACCAAGTGCGGTTGCAGCCATGTACAATATATGCTGGAAATTCCTTTTTTGATTTGAGAAATGCATCCATTTCGGAATATTTCTTTTTTTTTTTTTTTTTTGTTGTCTTCTGATTGTTTCTGCAGCTCTATTTTGTATAATGTCCTCAGGTTTTCTCTGCTTTCTGCAAAGTCTTTTTCTTTCCTTATCTTGCCTTTTATCAGATGAAACTGTTTCCACACCTCTTGTTTCTCTTGCAGTTTTCTTTCTTTCTTTATCTTTTATTTGGTCAGATATAATGGATTCTTCATCTCTTCCTGTTCTTGCGGTTTTCTTTCTTTCTTTAACTCTTTTTTGATCAGATATAATGGATTCTTCATCTCTTCCTGCTCTTGCAGTTTTCTTTCTTTCTTTATCTTTTTTTTGATCATTTTGTATAATGGATCCTCTTCATCTCTTCCAGTTCTTGCAATTTCCTTTCTTTCTTTATCTCTTTTTTTATCAGATGAAAACGTTTCCCTATCTCTTCTTGCTTTTGCAGTTTTCTTTCTTTCCTTATTTGATATAATGGATTCTTTATCTCTTCCTTCTCTTGCAATCTTCTTTCTTTTCCTATCTTTTTTTGATTAGATATAATGGATTCTTCACCATGTCTAGCTCTTGCAGTTTTCTTTCTTTCTTTGTCTTTTATTTTCTCGTTCTCCACACTTTCAATGTGTCTTGCATCTCTGCGTCTCTTTTTTACCTGTTTATTTTGTTCTCTATCTTGCGAAATGGTTTCACTACTTGTTCTTTTCCTTAATTCTCTTTTTCTTTCTCTATCCTTTGCCCTTTCGAACTCAATGACTTCTTCATTCTGACTTCTTATTCTTCTTGCAGTTTTCTTTCTTTCCTTATCTGTTTTTATTTTTAAAATGGTAGCATCTTAATTGTGAATTTTTCTTTTCTTTATGACTTCGGCAGAACTTTTATTTTGTTGTTAATTTTTTTGCTGCTTAGCTTGGAATTGAAGGTAATTTCTTCATCCTTCTTAAAGGATGAGATGCATTCTGTTCCTGGAAAATCTTTAGTTTTAAAAGAAAGAAATTGTGAATTTATAAAGTTCTTTTTTGGAAACTTCATTTTGTTGAAAATTTTTTTACTGTGGAAAAATTTTTCATCATACTCTTGTAACAAAATCAGTTGTAGTTCAAGTCTTTGGTATTCTGAAAATTCTGACTGTGATGTTGTGTCTTTATTATTATTTCATCATATGGTAGGGCTGAATTCTGTTAAAGGAAGAATGATGATGAAAAGGAGAAAAAAACAAATTCATAAAAGTGAGATAAATGAAAATTTACATCTTTATATGTGTTACTAAAATTTTCACATTTTTAAAATATCAGAGTACATCCAGCAGTTAATAAAGTAGTAATTTTTTTCTTTTAAAGACAAGGAATGCATTTGGTCTTTTGTTTTGGCTGTTTCCAAATCCAATGATTTCAAGTTTAATTTTGTTTTCTCTTCAAGAACTTTCAGTTTACGCCGAACTCGTTCTAGTGTTGTAATAGCCTGATCTTTAGCACCTTTAGTGATGTCATACATGGCAGCTTTGATTTCTGTTTCAATTTCTGTGATTGTTTCAGTAATCAAGATTCGACAGTCAATTATCATTTTCTTTCCTAGAGATGCCATGATTTCTTTCAAAATAAAGGAAAACATAGGTAATGAAATGCTCATCTCGGCGAAATGGTGTCTTTAACTGAGACAAAGATCCACTAAATTAATACTCTAGTTCTGAAAATGTAGGTCAGATCCAGCATCCGAAGCAAGTCCAGTACTGTGCATCATAATATGTATCATCCATGCAAGTTTGGTCAACATAGGACTTACAGTTATTTGGAAATTTGGAAAATGTAGGTTAGATCCAGCACCTAAAGCAAACCTGGTAGTATTCATCCTTAGATGTATCATCCATGCAAGTTTGGTTTACATAGGGCTAGTTACTTGGAAATGAGACCTGCAACAAAAACTTTAATCTGCACGAAAAATTTTAACCTATTCTGAAAGCATAAATTGCTTTATATATTGCAGCTGAAATTGCATCAACTGAAACCTTCACTTTCTATTGTACCATTGGACATGCTGGCGGAAATATCTGTTCGATGATATTAAATGTTAATTTGTTAAAAAAGTAATGTATTGACGAACTTTATTACAAATTGGCGTGGTCTTATACTAAGGATTGAAGCTGTAATAGAAAAGAAAAACTTATACATCTAATAAAAAAAATACTAGTACACAACTGGCATCTACATGATAATGATGGTGACAATTGTCAGTTGAAAACAATTTCTGAAATTAAAAAATATGGTATAGACAGTTGTACAAGGCCAGTTACATTCCTGAAATATTAAATGTATTTTTAGTGCACATGTTTAAAGTTCTAAATACTTAGTATTCAGTAGAGATTAGAATTCAAACTGAGTTAATTTATTGTAGACGTACTTTTTTCCACGGTGTCATAATTCCGCGGAATCTCTATTTCCGTTTAATCCGCGGGTAGAAAAGTACGCGGGTTTTCTAGACTGTCACTATATGCCTTACATTTATATTAAGTACGCTTCAACAAATTTTCGCGGATTATTTGTGTCCGCATGTATAGCGTAAATATAATACCACGCGGAAAACAGTACTTCTACAGTATATTAATAGGTTTAGAGCAATTTTGAAGGTGTGTTGATGCAATTTTATCACATAGTGTTAAAAGAATATGACTATAATAGCCATTTTATATTAAACGATAAAAAAAAAAATAAATAAAAATACATGCACAATAATAAAGCAGCTTCTTATTTTGGTACATGTAAGAGAACTGGAAATAAAGCATGATATTAATAAAAAATCATGACCTTTCAGCCAGACCCATTGTTGTGAATACATGTGTTTATAATTGAGTGATCAAATGGTAATAATGATTAATGAGTGAATTATGACTGAGTGATATATGAATGAAATTGCAGACACTCTCTGATATATAGTGCAGTCTTTGAAGCAGTGTGGATTAAGCATTATGTTTTCTACAAGCAAAATTTGGGCTACACAATCAATGGCCGTTACCAGTGCTACCATGAGGAGGATCTACATTCTACAACTAGCCCATCTATTGTACAATGCAGACAGGTCATGCAGATTCACATCTTACAGTAGGGAGTTGAAATCACTGATATTCAAATCAGTAAATTTTGTGATAAAATGTGATAGGAAAAAATGCTTTTTGCATAAAAATTATCATCAAATTTAAAGATCTTGAAAAGGATTTGTTTTAATTACATGTAGTGTAAGATGTAATATCCTGTAAAGTAGACAGGTGTGGAATTCGTGCATATTTAAATAAAGAGATAAATATACACATGCTTTCCCATCTACTTAGCACCAGCATAATTAAAACATATAAAAGGCACACTAAAATATACAAGTAAAAGATTAATAGATCACGTTCTAAAATAAAATCTGTTGAGACTTCTTCTATGTCATCTTTGTTATAATACAAAAATGGCACGAAAATCACGATTACTCCTTATCCGCTCAAAATCACGAATGTTGCATATCCTCTATAAAAATTGTTGCATATCCTCTATCAAAATATAGAAGGAAAATCACAAATGTTCTGTAACTTAAGTCAGTTGGTAAAGTTTGAGGCTGACTGGAATTAAGGGAAGAAATTTATGCACCAAACAAAGATTTTAAACAGAGAGGCTAATTCTGACCTCGACCTAGAAACTTCCACCAAGGTCGCTGCATATTCATTGACCAGTGGCACTCAGTGAGTGAAGTATGAGCCAGACTAGGCCAAGGAGAGAGAAGATAATTTTTCATGTAATTCTGCTATGACCTTGACGTTTGATTTAGAAACATGGTTCAAGGTCACTGCACATCGGTTACCCAAAGGCACTGTGTGGGTGAAGTATGAGCCAGATTGGGCCAAGGAGAGAGAAGATATGCTCCGGACAAGAGATTTCGGACGGACGAACGGACAGACAGCTGGACGGACGGACGGACTGATCACCGCCAAGCGGGGCCCTAATAAATATGACATCTAGCGAGCAAACTGTACGTATGATTCAATAAACCATGAATCCTACATCAAAGGTACGAGAATTGTGCAATGCATAGTCTCTGGGTTCTGGGTTTATGCTCCTTTGACCTGTTGACATCATTCAAAAATACATTCAATTTTGAAACTTAATTAATCCGACCATCTAGCAGGTTGGTTGCCTTTACATAGTATCTACGTTTACGGTGAAGCTATAGGCTCCAGGGGTGGGGGGTGGGGGTTAAGACAAGTGGTCACTGGTACACTTTTGATAATAAAACACATCATATACTAGTCACTAATTTGATAAACTTTCTCAGAATCCTGTAGTCATTACCGAAACACATTGAATATTTCTCCCAATGTATAGTCAAAAGCGAAGAAATACTGAAGATTTTTCTGCTGGAAGATAATTTAAAAATCTTAAATAATGACATTATTTCGAAAAATACCTGTATTTGATTTATCTTCTGTCAAACATAAAGCTTTTCTCAAATCCTGTAGAAGATAAATCAAAATATTTCAATGCAATGTTCTAATTTATATGACCTACATGTATAGTCAAAAGTTTTTGGCATAAAAGAAATACTGGCATTCAATTGTCTTTGGAAGATAATTTAAAATATCTTTCAATACAATGTTCTGAAGTATTTTCCAACATAGTTAATTCACTTAAGTTTTAATAATAATTTATATAACAGCTAGAAAAACAAGTTTATCTTGTGGGAAGTCAACATTACCGCTACATAATTGCAAAAAATTTCAACTCATAACAGGTCAGTCATTACCGCTACATTTTATCAATAGCACCATTACCGAAAACAACCCATTGCCGCTAGAAATATTGATTTGTCAGCCAGCGATTGTAAGGAATGTACAAGTTCCAGAGAAATATAATTCACTTTCTGTGTAGTGAAGTACATTCTAATAAAAATGTGTATACATGTATAATTACGAGTTCTATGAAATTTTATTGTAAATTTTACATGGAGTATCGAAACAAATATTGCCTTGAAAATGATGCATTGAAAAAAAAGGGGGGGGGGGGAGTTTCTTTGGGTTGAAGTCCTTCTCAGCTAAAGTTTTGCCCCTGGAAAAACTGGTATACACCTAGGAAATGTTTAAACTCGCTACGGAGAAATAATTTGCATCAAGATAATTTGTTTTTTTAATGTCAAAATAGATTCAGAGAGAAAAGAGATTTAAAGTTAATGTCGATTCTTAGTTTTTGTTTGTTCCAAAAAAATTTTGTACGTCAAATAATGACATTGATTCATGTGTTTTAGATTTATTAACTCCAAAAAACAAACATAATCAAGCAGGATCTCTCCCAATAGTTTCAAACCATTTGTAAAATATATGCATTGAAAGCTGCTGTTCATGATATTGTAAAGTCATAAAAACAAGATTTGAAGTCCTGGTCTCAGCTCAAGGGAAGGTCACAAGAAGAGGCGTCAAAAGGTAGAGTGTTTTCTCATTTGCGAGTGTACTCAGGTAACTTCTGCAGCGGACATTGAAAAACAGAAAAGGTTTAGACAGTATGGTTAACCTACACAGTCATGAAACTATAGCGGCGACGGCACCTGGTGATCATATAATGTCGTTTTTATTTTGGATCAAAATTTGAGGAAATAATGAACGTTGGACTAGTGTAATAATTTCAACATTTCTTTATTTTTTGTTCTTTTAAGTTTTAAAAATTGTGTTGTTGGACAACATTTACTGTAGTGAAATTCCTTTGATCTTAATATTTATATAATCAGCTAAATACGTATAAAAATAGTCTTAGCAATCAAAAGTTATCCCCATGTCCAGTCAATTTTTGTTTCAAACATTGAGAAGATCTAAGATCTGACTCAGCAGATCTATAGGAAAGTATTATAAGAACTTTGTTTGGCTCATTCAAGTCCCGGTGTTCAGTTGTGGAGATGCCGTCACAAGAAGAGGACGTCTCATTAGTAAAGATTTGTGTTTTCTCAGTTTGCGGTGTCTCAAACTTCTGCAGACGAAAAGTTGAGTAACATAGATCCTTACGGGTTAATTCAAGAGTAAATGACTATTATATAGACGGGTGTACGTTTAAAACCCAGTGTTCACTACAGGTCTGGGAGCTATAGTGCTCAAACAGAGTGTCAGACCAGGGGCTTAGTCGTTGGACTAGGAGATAACAAACTAAGGAAAATTATAAATAGACGATAAGTTTAAATCATTGTGTTGTTGATTATTATTGATTGTGTTTTGTTTGTTCTTATATTTAATGCAATCAGCTAAATACGTATAACGTAAGGAAAATTCTTTATCAAAACTTCATCCGTGGTCGAACCCACAAAACACATTACAAATTTTTGGTGGCAGCGGTGGGATAAATTGATCTAAAACCCACTTTTGATTTTTATAATAAGAACAATTATTTGTGAAAGAACTTTGTTTGAGAAAATTAAGTTTAGGTCTTAAACCATGGATGATGTTGATAAAGAAATAAGTTATCTTGAAGAGAAAATTAAAGAGTTCTCGAAGGAGAGTATGCGTTTCAGAGAAAAAGAAAGACAGAAAAGTCTAATGAACCAGGCATGTACATTCGTGGAACCATCAATGATGTGTCTGCCATGATATTAGTTGATACTGGTGCTACGGTTACACTTATTTCACGTAAGGTTTTCGATGCAATCCGCTTGAAGCATAAAGTACAAAAAAATGATACGAGCCAAAAGATTTGATCAGCTTCAGGCACTCCTCTTAATATACATGGAAAAGCCATTGTGAGGCTTAAATTCGGCAAGAAAATTATATTACAAACAGTAATAGTTGCCGACATGACTGTTGATGCAGTTTTAGGCTTAGACTGCTTGAAAGCCAATAGAGGTGTTATAGATTTATGCAATAAAAGTCTTAATCTAATACCACGATTTTTGAAACCCTCACCAATTCAGGGTTGCAAGGTGTCATTCAACTCTTGGATACCTTAAGGATGAAGTAAAATTAAAGAAAAACAATGACATTGCCATCGAAAACAGAAGTGGTAACAATAGTCAAAAGTAATTTGTAACGCTCCTGATAATTGAGAGTTTAATTTAGAAAATTATCACTGGGGTAGTTGAACCATCAACAACTTTACATCCGACAGAGGAAAAGTATTCGGACGAACTTTGGAAAAATCAGAACAAATTTTAAACGTCCCATTAAGGCTGTTTAAAGCATCCATCAGAAAGTAATGTTACAATACAGTTTGTTCGAGAACGACATCTTGTTTTGGAGAGGCAATCGCCTATAAAAAGTCAGGATGTAATTGAGGGCGAATTAGGATAGTTATTACAGGAATCCTGCTGAAAATTGTTGAACATTAAAATCACTATTCACAAAGATAAGGCAAAAGGACAACCTGAAAATTACCCAGCCAGTAAGAAACAAGCAAAAAACTATAAAGTCTTTATTGATAAAATATTTTCATTTATTTACCATTAGTCTGAAAAGATGTGGGAATGCTTTCATATTTAGCTGTAAAGCATACTATTAAAACAGGTGACAAAGACCTATCAAACAAGTGCCAAGAAGACTGCCTAAGCACATGAATGCTGAAGTAGACAAAAACGTAAACGATATGTTGGAAAATAATGTCATATTGCTTTCGAACAGTCCTTGGGCCTCTAGGGTTGTTTTAGTCAAGAAGAAGGATGGTTCCACCAGGTTCTGTATGGACTATAAAAACGCTATGCACTCTATCAGAATGCTGTAATCTAATGGGACCACGCATCAATGAAACCCTAGACCAACTTGCAGGGTGCAAATGGTTTTCAACTCTCGACCTACACTCTGGGTATTGGCAGAGAACAACGAGACCGAAGGATAAGCCCAACCCAGCGTTCGTAACTCGTAATGGCCTAAATCATTTTAACGTGATGCCATTCAGGTTATGTAACGCTCCTGCTATGTTTGAGAGGTTGATGGAGACCACACTAAGAGGCTTGCAGTGGGACGTATGTCTACTTTACCTTGACGATATAAAAGTATATGCTAAGACTTTCGAAGAAATGAACAGGAATTTGTCAAGGGTGTTCGAGAAACTCGCCGCTGCAGGTCTAAAGCTCAAGGCTAAGAAATGCACATTGTTTGCGCGAAAGGTTGAATACCTCGGACATGTAGTGTCTGAGCAAGGAAGAATCAACTGAAAACCAAAAAGTCATTCGGAAATGGCCTCGTCCGAACAATGTGACTGAATTGAGATCTTTTCTTGGATTCTGTAGTTATTACAGGAAGTTTGTGCCAAATTTTGATGCATTAGCTATACCACTCCATGTGCTGACACAGAAAGGCAAAGGATTTTTATGGTCTGAGGACCATGTAGGAAGCACAGTTTGAGATTTTGCGTGAAAAACTAATAAAAGCACTCACATGCTTTCACATCCTGATTTTATCAATATCATTTATAACCGATTGATACATATGCCAGCGATTTAGCCCAGGGCTTTCTGTGTAGTGAAGTACATGACGGAGAAGAAAGGTTATAAGCTATGAAATTTTATCAAAGCTTACAAAGGCTGAACGAAATATTGTTGAGAAATTAGAAAGAGCTACAGTTTGGCCATATTTAGAAACTTTTGCAAGTACTTCAGACATTATCTGTACGGGAAGCCTTTTCTTGTCCAAACAGATCATAGCTCATTAAGATATCTGTTGAACAAAAAAGATGCAGAAGGTCAGCTAGCAAGGTGGATAGAAACGCTATCTACATATGAGATTGAAGTACAACATAGGCCAGGAAGATTACATAAAAACGCTGATGCACTCAGTAGAATACCATGTAAACAGTGTGGGAACGATTCTTGTTCAAGCAAGATGGCGAAAACAAGAACTGGAGCCCAACTTCGATCTGTATTTGAGGAAAAAGACACTAGCAGTATGACGTTGATGGAAATGCAAGAACAGGACAAAGATATCTGTCTTGTCAAGTCATGACTTGAGAACAACAAGAGGCCTGTGTTTGAAGACATAATAAGTAATGGCTACTTTCTTCGATCACTTTGGAGTCAGTGGCACAGACTAACCGTAATGAACAGTATACTTTGTAGGCGCTGGACGGTGTTGGAAACAAATGAAGTTATGCTACAACAAGTGATCCCTCTATTTCAGAGGCGTAATATTCTAAGACGGAAAATGATGATAGAAAGGTGGAAGTCCCGTTCACAAAACGTAAGCTCGAGTTTGCCAAAGATATTATTGGCCGGGCTTGCAACAGGATGTAAGGCAATATGTTACTGGCTGTGATGCTTGTACTATGCGGAAAAATCCTAATAAGAAGAAGGTGTCACCCATGGAAATTGTACCCTCTGGCATGCCTATGGACCGTTTAGCAACTGATATTCTTGGTGAGTTGCCCATGACAGAGAATTGGAACAGATATATTTTGGTTATCTCTGACTACTTCTTAAAATGGACAGAGGCGTTCCCGAAGCCAAAAATGGAGGCTAAAACTGTAGCAAAATTGATCGTAGAAGTAGTTGCAAGATTCGGGACACCCAGAATAATTCATTCAGATCAGGGTAGGTAATATGAAAGTGAGCTCTTTACAGAGATGTGTAGGCTTCTGAACGTACAAAAGACAAGAACCACTCCCTACCATCCACAGTCTGATGGGATGGTAGAGAGGTTCAACCTTAACAGCCATGTTGAGTACATATGTGCAAGAAAATCAAAGAGATTGGGATATACACATATTCCCTATGTCATGATGGCATACCGATCTGCGGAACATAAGTCCACAGGGTTCACACCCAACATGCTTATGCTTGGTAGGGAGACATCACTTCCAGTAGACTTGATGTATGAGATGCCTGAGACTATGAAAGAGGAAAGTCCTAACCATTGGGCTTGGACTCTTCGAGAGAAATTAGAAAGAGCACACAGTTTGATGCGGGAGAATTTAGAAACTGCGATGAACAGACAGAAAATGTACCATGATATGAAATTGTCATGGGAGAAGTTTAAGCCTGGAGATAAAGTTTTTGTATTCTTTCCTCAGAAAAAAATTGGCTGTTCACCAAAACTTACTTCGTTTTGGCGCGGACCATATGAAGTGCTGGAACAATGGTCTGATGTGCTATATGCAGTTTCATGTGGCAGAAACGGAGAAAAACATATTATCCACTGCGAGAATGCGGAAAAAGAGGTCTCAAACTCTTAGCTTTGAAGATGCAATAATTGGAGATGAGTCTGAATTTAATGATATAGAATCGGAAGATACAAATGAAGTTGAATGTCATGAAATAGATGTTGTGGAAGAGTTAAATCCAGATGCTAGGCAAAAACGCGTTAGGAAGCAACCAAAATGGTTGCAAGATTATGAGACATAGATCTTAGTTAGAATGAAAGTTTATTTGATAGTTAGAATGAAAGTTTATTTGAAAATATGTATTCTCAAAGAAATAAGCCAAGATTTTTTTTTTATTTTGTAGAAAATGTTGAATACCAAGTTAACGAAAGCCAAAACACATTACAGTACTAATTGTGTAGTTGGTGAAGTTCTTGATAATAGATGGCGGGAACATCTGGTGAGAGGCAATGGAATGGAGGAGGTTCCCATGTAAGACCTGTGGCAAACTCTTTAAGAAGAGTTCTTACCTACAACGTCATGAGAGAAAATTTCATAATAAAGGTGAAGTCCCGATCGAGAAGGAAAGCGAAGCAGACAAGGAGTGGCTAGAACAAGATCCTGGTGATTTGATCGGAGAGATCTTCAATGAAAGTAGCTCTGGCGATAGTAGTAGCGACAGTGGTGAAGAGGAAGAAAGGGGGCAGGAAATCTCATCAAGAGAAAGTGGACAGAATCCTGTATCACAGGTTGACCCGACAAACAAGAAAAGTGGGGAAGAAAACAGTGGCAGTGCTTTGGAGGAAGGTAGAACAGTGAAGAAACCCACAGCCCCATTACCTGTTTTCGTTCCAAAGAGAAAGACACCTGACCACATGCCGGAGAAGGACATGTCAGTGAACCAATTCAGGTTTAGGTCATATCTCTCTAAAAGCACAAAACTGACTTTGAAGAAAAGTCACGAAACCTTGTGAAGAAAAGGAAGTTTGCCAATCACATGCATCATAAAATATGATTAAATGAGTATATTTACAATTGTAAATTATTTCTAAATCTTCATTTTATGACATTATTTAACAGCCTACATCCTTATAAAGTAATGGATGTAATGATACTGTCAAATATTTTCACTGAAAAGTAAAAGATAAAATTTAAACATCTCATTTTCTTGAGTAAACTGAACACGTTAGCAGTAGCTCCCTACCTTGCTTAGGTAGCTTAGTTTTATTAATAACCAAAAAAGTTACAACTCAAGTTAATAAGTTCATAAAAGCAGTGTCATTTCAACATGAAAAAAAAGGTCATAATTTTAGTAGTTTCAACTTGTCATGTTTAAAAAATACCATGACTTGATGTTCCCTTTTAAAAAAGGTTTTAAAATAAAAAAAAAAGATGGTTCATCCTAACTTGTGTGATGCAAGAGAGCGATCCCCCAAAAAGCAAAAACATGTACTTGTAGCCATGCTATGTTTCTAAAGTTCGATTTCATTTAAGTGGTTAACCCCATGCCACCCTGCATATATTTTTATGCATGGTTAGAAGAGCTTTATCATATATGGTTCATACATGTTCTATACATACAAACCCTTCCAACGATTTCGTACAGGTGACCTCCTTGGTCTGTATTTTCAGTTTTGATATTTGTTTTTAGCCGGGCTTATTGCTCAAAGAGCAATTGCCGGCTTATGTCATCCTGTTCAAGACAGGAAGTCAACCCCAAAGTCGCCATTTGAAAGTTACGTGCAAAAATATAGTTCTTACTCTCAACCGCTTTTGAGATAATACAAACGCTAAATAAAGCAACAAAAACCAGAAGTCTCTGTCGAGACTGAAGCTCTACTGTTATAGCAAAGGAAGAGAAAAGTACAAGCAGCTGGGATTTGAAAGTTTACAACAGCAATAAATAGAATAATGATCGTTGAAAAAGTAAATTCTATTTGTGCCAAGTTATACTGAAATCAGACCAAAACTTAGGAGGAGTAGCATTTTGAAAGAATTTCACAGAAATTTCTATTTTTAGTAACCAAGGCAACACCGTTCATCGAAATCAAAAACTGATACACAGAATTATGTATCTTAGTGTATTCTACTTGTGTGCCAAGATATACTGAAATCAGATCAAAACTGTAGGAGGAGTAGCATTTTGAAAGAATTTCACAGAAATTTCTATTTTTAGTAACCACGGCAACACCGTTTCAAAAACCGATACACAGAATTATGTATCTTAGTGTATTTTATTGTGTGCCAAGATATACTGAAATCAGTTCATCAAAACTGTAGGAGGAGTAGCATTTTGAAAGAATTTCACAAAAACCGATACACAGAATTATGTATCTTAGTGTAGTCTACTTGTGTGCCAAGTTATATTGAAATTAGACCAAAACTGTAGGAGGAGTAGCATAAAAATTGTTTACAGACAGCAAGAAAAAATTAATTACGCAAAGCTCTTCTGGTCTCTGACCTGTTTAAAACGAAGTTTTACCTATATAAATAAACATTAGTAGTAATGACTTTGAAAACTTCAGTCCTAAGTCAAAGAACATATTTCATTAGCGTAAGGATTTTTGATAATCAGTGTTATCGTAGTTCTCTACACAAACAAGGTAAAGCAGGAGAGGGAACCAGACTGGCCTGTTTGTTTACATTCAGCTGCGGTACCAGATTAATTCTGATTCTGACAAAATCGGATCGTGGTATTAGGTTGGAAAAACTCACTGTCAGTGTCTTATCATTTATATTGATAGTTTTAAAATAATTTTTTCATCAGAATTTAAACGTGATTCATGTAAGAAATTCATTCAACTCTGTAAATGAGCCCGGCTCTCTGTACTTCTGATTACTTTGATTAACTTTTGTACTTTGGGCTAATTAAAACATACATATGATGATAAGTAGTGGTGTGACAGATTACAGCAGTGCGTTGTCTTATTGAAATTTTCTTGACAAAGAATGAGTGCACTTTAGTACGTCATTTGGAACCTTTTTGGTTATCCACTTTAAGCTTTACATTACAATATTCTAAATTACTCTGAACGACTATTATGCAAGCATATGCTTTTCTATATTTATGCTTTGAAGTTTTTGTCATAAATATTTCTATAATTACAGACAATGTCATTGAAAGTACATGTATAAGCCTTAAATTCCGAATTTAAGGTATCCGAAAATAGATGGATACATTTAAATCGCATGAATGTGGAATGTAAACATTAGCACATACATGTATGATTTTTTCGCAATCAGATTCTACATATGAATTTAAATGAAGCTCAAGAGAGATATGGTGTAATTTCATGGTGCACAAATAATGAATAATTCTAGTTTTTAGGGATGCATGGTGTAGACCCTAACATTATTGAGGCGACATTAGCCTATACTTACTAATCACACTAACAATATCGCTAGTATAGCGGGAAAATGTTGTATGAATGACAAGATGTTTATACGCATGTTGTGTGGATTGGTCAGAGAGTGACCAACAGAAATTGATTTTGAGGTGTAGTAGAGAACTGGTTTTTAAAGGTTGGTCACTTCTATCCGCCGACTTAAGCGTGCAACAGCTTAATTATAGACGCCGGGGACTCAACAGCAAATAGATCGGTCAATTCAACAGGCCAACAATGAGATTGTGAGTCAGTTTTCCAGTATTTTGGACAGTAGACTTTCGACAGTTCAGAGAAGTATAAATGAAAATCAGAAAATAATTGCTGAGCGGCAAGAAGCGAAGTTAGAGCAAGTTTTCACAGATAATTATAAATTCAAAAAGCGCGGTAATGAAAAACAATATAAGCAAAATGTTAAAGTAATGGCAAAACTGAGGCAAACGAAGAACTGGAAGAGAATCACATTCAAGGAGTGAGACAAAAGATAACAGAAGTTGACTTAATTAAGCAGAGACAAAAACTAGTTAAGTTAGCAGATTCGTCATCGGCCGGGTGGAGAGCTGTAGATGAATATGTAAAGAACCCAATAGCTTCGGACTCAGATGATGAAAAAAGAATTTCCAAGGCGCAAACGAGGGCAGAGAGAAAAGTCAAGGACGAACGTATCAAACGTCGAAGGGATATGCGAGAGAAGTGGAGGCCCTACCCTTCCATCAACGCTACAGGAGGCAGTACTTCATCCTCTATAACGCCCGCTGTATGGCGATTGGGCCAGTGCTAAAGGTGTCATAAGAAGGGACACTAGAGAAAAGATTGTACAGAGAAAATAGATGAAAAGGTAAGTAGTTTTCTATTTGAATGTTTTGACAAAAAGCAGTCATGTGACACGAACACAGGTAAATCACCGGTAGGTAGATTGAGAAAAAATGTAGGTCAATAGCGTTCGATTGAAGCGAGCAGGTATGTTTGAGTGTTATTTGATTTGGTTACAAGCTGCCTTTATTTACAATTCCAAGTCCTATGGAACTTAAGAATAACAAATCTGCATTGGAAAATGCCAATTTTGTATCAAATGAAATAGAAAAGTTAGTAAAAAAGGTCTGTGTTCGACAGTTTATGGACAAACCTAAAGTAGTGAATCCATTGACTGTAGCAGGTAATAAACAAAAACAAAGGTTGGTTTTAGATGCTAGGCATGTCAATCCACATTCACAAGTATGAAGACGCAAGTACATCACGCGCGAACTATTTCAAGAGGGTGATTACATTTTTTCATTTGATTTGAAAAGCGCTTATCATCATATTATGATAAACACTGATAAATGAATAAGAGAGAGAGAGAGTATTTGGGTTTTAAAAGGAAAAACAAATTATCTGTGTTTAACGTTCTACCTTTTGACATAAGCACTGCTGGTTATATTTTCACAAAGGTTTTGCGAGAAGTAGTTAAATTTTGTAGATCGAAAGGGTTATAAAATCGTTATGTATTTAGATGACGGCATAGGTGGCGCTAAAACTTTAGATCACGCTAGAATTATTAGTGAAAACATTCAAGCTAATTTAAATGCATTAGGTTTTTTTAGTGGCTGATGAGAAGTGTCAGTGGAAACCAGTTCAAGAAATAATTTGGCTAGGTTTTGTTTGGAACACAAAACGTGATGATCAGTATCAAATTCTATAAACAAACTTAAAGGAAATGTTCAAAATATTTTGGAAGGCAAATTGGTTTGAAGTGAGATTCATTGCATCAGTAGTCGGTCAGATCATTTCAACACAAACTGTGTTTTGGGATGCAGTTAGGAAATCTTCAAAAATATTTTGGTATAGGCTTTCTAATGAACGTCTTTCGGTGAAAATTTGCATTTACGTTTGACATACAAAAGAATGGTTTGTATATAAATGTGGGGTACCCGGAGCAGTCACAAAATCAGATATTGAAAATTGCATTCAACTCTTCAGTGGACCTATAATAAGGTAATTCAATTTATGTGTATATTTTTTCCGCTTTATTTCAACACAACTTTGTTAGAATTTTGTTCAGAAATACGGAGACCATAAAAAATTAAGCGCGGTACAGAAATATTCGTAGAACAAAAAAATGGATTTTGACGTTAAGGGCGGAGCAGCCATCATACCTAAAATTTTGTGTAGCGCAATGTATAAGTCTTTTTCAGACCAGGTAATGTGTTAGGGTTTGTTATTTTTGATATACATGTTTTATTTCGCAATTAATTCAACCAGCGTAAAATCCAGTTCAGTTATTACGTACGGTATTATCTTATATTATGTTCCTTTTCCACAAATGAAAATATTACACTTGGGTAGCAACAGCACACATTTTTAAAGAATATTTTAATAGACTGATTTTGTAATGTTATATGGAATAAAAAAGAAGGAAAAGAATTAAAAGACTTCCCAATAGTTTTATATGTGAAACCATCTCTGGCTGAAATGACGTTTAATGACGTAACGATGCTGCTCCGGGTCGATAGACATATGCATGTTTATCAATTCACCGAAACTTTTCTTATTATCATAGGAATTAGAAAATTTGTTTAAGTGTTTTATTCGTTCTTTATAAAAAGTTGATGAATTTTCATGAAAGTATTCCCGTCCTTTATGGAGTAAATAAAATTGTCTCAATAATTTCCGAACAGCCCTCGTATTATTGCATTTTAATAAGATCCAGTTGGAATTCTTATATTATGTTGAGTAAGGAAGCTGTAGAGGAATTTCAGTTTTGGCTTAAAATTTGGAAAGCATGAATGAAAAGGGCGCTCCGCTGAGTAAGGTAATGGACCAAGATGTCAGACAAATTCAGATTCTGGATGTGGAGGTCATTTGACTCTAAGGTCCAAGGATGAACAGAAGATCTTTTGGAATTTGAATGGTATGGTATTTGGAATGAGTGTAAATATAGACAGCGTTCCACATGGAGGGAACTGGAAACTGTGAAGATATTTTTAGATTATTCTTTAGATTTGATCAAGAGCAATTCAGTTGAAGTAAATTCAGATAACAATAATGTGCCACACATTCTAAGGTAGGTAGTAGAAATAAGACATTGCTATGTCTCTGCATGGGCTGTGTAAGAAGGAGAATATTCAGTTGAATTGCAAATGGTTGCCTAGAACAGCTAAATAGAGAGCAGACACATTAAGCAGAATGAATGATTGTGATGACTGGGCAATTAAACAGGGAGTGTTTGAATATTTTGATGAAGCATGGGGTAAGCATACATGTGACAGATTTGCTTCTAAATATAATAGTAAGTGTGAAGTATTCAATTCCAAATACCGGTGCGCTGAATCAAGCGGAGTCGATGCTTTTGAACGGGTATGGTCAGATTGTGTTAGCTGGGTTGTACCACCACCTTGTTTGAGACAAAGATGTGTAAGAAAAATTGAGTTTGAGAGGTGTAAGTGTACTCTGGTGATACCAGAGTGGAAATCTGCACCCTTCTGGCCAATGTTGGTCTGTAAGGATGGCAATTTCATTTGGTATGTAAGAAATATAGCCAAACTTAAAAATGTTGATGTTGTGTGTAGAGGTAGGGGAAAGAACGGTATATTTGGTAAAGAAGGACTTGTGTTTAATATGATGTTCTTATGAATTGAATTTTGATTTTTCAGGAATAGGTTTGCAGAATAGAGTTCGGAAGGTAGCGCTGGACAGTGGAGTGAAACCTGGCAGTTATTTGGACGATCTTTGTCCCCACATGAGTGTTTTGATATTATCAAGTAAAAGTGACAACACGAACAAAAACTATTTCAACGCTTTCAAAAGGTGGGAGACCTTCATCAAATCACATGGACATAGTGCACTTCCGGCAAACCCCATTCACGTGGCATTGTATTTGACACACCTTTTAGATAATGGCGCAACGCAACATCCAATTCATTCGGTTGTGTACGGGATCAAGTGGGCGCATGACTGTTTGGGATTTACAGATCCTACAAAAAATTCATTTGTTCTATTAATACAGGAAGCAGCGAGGAGAAAAGTGTCTAAATCTGTAAACAAAAAGGACCGAATTACCAAAGAAGTTTTAATAGAGTTGTGTGTTAAGTTCCAGGATTCAACTGACTTGTTAATTGTTAGAAACCTCACAATGATTTTGTTTAGTTTTGCTGGTTTTTTGCGATTTGATTAGTTAAGGTCTCTCTGTTTCAACGATGTACTGATTGATGATGATTATTTAGTGATATGCATCAGAAAAAGCAAGACGGATCAATATCGGCAAGGGAACGAAGTACTTATTTCAAAAGGGGATACGCCTGCCTGTCCGGTGAGCATGTACCAGCGCTATTTGGAACTTGTTGGAGATGTGGGTGATAAACATTTTTTTGTATTCAGACCTATTTTTAGGTCGAAAGACAATTGTAAACTGTTTTTTAAAAATAAAAAGATAAGTTATTTTGCTTCAAGAAATAACATAATACCACTTATTAAATCTGTTGTTGGGGAAGTAGATATAGGGCTTCATTCTTTAAGGTCGGGGGGAGCGACTGTGGCTGCAAATTCTGATGTTGATGATAGATGTCTTAAAAGACATGGTAGATGGAAAACAGATAGTTCCAAAAGACGGCTATATTGTTGACTCAGTTGAGAAGCGTTTGATAGTTTCAAAATCTCTGGGTTTGTAATCACAGTCGTTTCTCTTTTTGCCCATACTTTGTGATTTCTAGCGCACGCACGGCTGGCTGTCATGCATAGAATGTTGTTGTTTTATGTTTGTATAAATACTGATAATTTCCCGCGTTTTGCTAGTATAGCGGGAAAATGTTGTATTAATGACAGATGTTTATACGCATGTTGTGTTGATTGGTCAGAGAGTGACCAATAGAAATTGATTTTGAGGTGTAGTAGAGAACTGGTTTTTAAAGGTTGGTCACTTCTAGCCGCCGACTTAAGCGTGCAACAGCTTAATTTTCTTATTTTATAGATAAGGGTATAAATGAATATATTTTTTTATTTTTTTTTCATAGGGTTGATAGATAGGTTGTGAGGTCCGTCGCAACAATTTTTGCATCCAGCGGCACTTGGCAACGGACACAGGTTTCTATAGTTTTTTAAAAATTATTTTTATCTCTAATTTTTCCTGGCCGGCCCTGATGCTTTTTCATGTTTTTCACAAAAATATAGTATAGAATATTATAATCGATGAGGCAGTTTTGGGGAATTTGGATGCTTTTTACACAGTGTTCTGTGTTATATATATGTATACTGAAGTACTTTTTACTGGAAACTGTCAATAAAATACGGCGTCCAGCGCACGCACGGCTGGTTGTCATGCATAGAATGTTGTTGTTTTATGTTTGTATAAAAGTAATGGAGTGAATACCCATTTTCGTACTGTCTAAGTATTTCCCGTCCATTGCACAATTTTTCTGTTTTAAATGAAAAACAGAGAGCAAATATCGTCGAAATTTTTTACTCATGCAACAATAAATAATTAGACTGGAGAAATATACAATCTTATCGACTGAAGAAATGATCGCCAACAACGTATTCAGAGAACATCTCCTACAAGACACACCTTCTGCATATGAGAAGTATAAATGAGCCGTCATAGCTGGGATATCAGCAATAATTACCACAAAGATAATGCATGACGTAATCAAAGACATCCTATCAGTTGATGCGTTTGTCTTCATAACTTGTTCCTTTCCACCGCCGCCATGTTTTTTCCTCCAATGGCTGATTTTCCTCAACTTATAAACCAAGCAGTAGTTAACAATCACTAAAATGACAAACGGTACAAACTTTGCAAACACTGTTTTGATCGTGCTGACAATTTTGTAATCAATGACTGCATTTTGAGGCCTGCAACTAAGAACGGTTGCATTGGACCGAATGTAGGATTCTACAACCACTCTCTCATATTTTATATTTATCAAGTGAGGAAGGAATATGGAAAGTGATATAACACCAAGAACGAAAATTGAGATTAAAGTCTTGTTTGTCGTAAAAATCCTACTTGCTCGGTATGGAATTGAAACAATATACTCGCAACGTCTTTGTATTCCTCCGCAACAATTTTGATAAAAATACAAAAGGATGCACTGAAAACAATTGGGATCTGTAATCAATTATAACAAACACACCAGGTTGTATGTATTCCTTTTGCCCTAAGGTGTAAAAGTAGATGGATGGTACAAAATCACTCATGGCCCCCAGGCATTGTAGTACAGCCATTGCCACCAATATTTTGTGTGCAGGAGAATGAAATTGACCTCTCACGATAAGAAAGATCAGTAGAATATTTACAGGAACGGTTATTGCCGTAATGATAACGCTGATAAAATGACAGTTCTCTCTCTATTGGCAAATTAATTGATGAAAATAATTAAAAACGGGCATACCGCCTCATACCGCCTTTGCAGTGCTTGTCAATGAGGGCAATTTACACGCACGGGTAATTAACTTGTAGTTATATAGCAGACTAGTGTAAACAGGTTTCTTTTAAAAATGACCAGTGCTTACCGACGCCTATTCACCGAGTTAAAAAACACGACACGAGTTCTCAGAAAAAAGTTCTTCACATGTTGATTTATTTTTGCAGAAAAATATATTTGCGAATGCAATGTACGCGCAAATTTGCTAAAAATTTATCTACAGTAAAAATTTCCAGATTTACGGTAATATACTGCAGCAGAAAAGGGAACATGTGGCAGACCAGAACATGCAAAAAGGGGGGTTAAACTTCTTATAAAATTATTAAACTTGAAAAAAATGTTTCAACCCCTTTCTCTGGTTTTTGAAAAGGGTGCACTGGGGTTCGCCAGAGAAATATATTCAAAATTGAACACAAACTTTAGACACTATAAAGAACAATATTCAATATGATTTTATTTCCCTTAAGAAAGAAAAATACCTTTGCAAAATGAAGGTAGCTAGGCCTAGTATATGATATTTAATATTTACATTGTCAGATTTGCAACAAATTTTGGAAGAAATATAAGAATTTCAACGTTTCCCTCAAAACACCTAGATTATTGATTTTTTTGTTTGTTTTTTCTGTAATGGAGCATCAAAAACAAAGGTACATGAAGACACAAAACATAGATTAAAAAAATGAAATGAACTAATGTACCTTCACCATCTGCTTAATTTTCTGTGGTTATTCTTCATATCTGCATTTTCCATTCCATTACAAATTAATCATTCAATAGATTGTCTGTATGATATTTCTTTACACTGCTTTAATATCCATGTATGTTTTAAGGAAGAACAATTTTGACACAACTCCCCTTCAAATTATTTAAAATGCCTTTTACATGTACTGTGTAGCCGAATCAGTCAAGTTAATTTTCATTTAAGCCTGCATTCTTGAAAAAAATGCTTCAGTGGTCATTAACACCTTTTCGAACATCCGTTCTTTTTTCTAACATCGGACTGTCTCAGGTAAATCAAAAAGCAATGTTTTAAGTACGGTAGAAGGTATATGTATTGGATATATGCCTCATAGAGTTCTGTATTAAAAAAATCAGACAGTTTGAGGCCCGTTAGAGCCAAAAACTGATATATTTTTAATACAGAACTGTATGAGGCATATATCCAATACATATACCTTCTTTACCAATATAGCGCTCATGTGATTCGATACCCAAGAGTATGTTCTATGCATACATATACAATTTCTAAAACGGGGTAAATTACTGACAAAAAAGTTAATGAAACAAGAATATCAGTTTTGTGTAAAGTCATAATAAGTTCTATGGTTGATACAGTGACCTTGTCATCAAAAACAATGTATCATTGAGTCAAATGCTGACTGACGTTTTTCATTCTAATTGTAAGGCTATTATTTACACACTGAGTTGTCGGCGGATTTTACCGTTCTTTACCGATCAATAGAAGATCGGCAGGGGATCCTCCATATTCCGTAGCTCCTGACCTTATACGCACCTCTCATGTTTTGGGTGTCCGTATTTGTTCTGCTCCAATTTTGTATTGTTTAATGGGCTTTTGAGATTAGATACTGTTTGTTTTTCTTGCATATTTCATTATAAACAAAATTTGATAATAAATGAAATTATTTAATACTGTTTTTCAAATAAGATGCGTAAAAATAATACTATTGAAAAAGAACGGAAATATCATTTGCGTAATTAATAACAATAACGCGCTTTCATTTGAATTTTACAATTTACGAACAATAAAATATTATAGTATTTTGTCTTTGTCAATTTTTTGAAGTACAAGAGAAGCTTCCAGGGAATACAGGGACCGCACTGATGGCCGGGGTGTCTACGTTTCTCGTGCTTAGTGCCCTAGTTTTTGGTGTCGCCGTGTTTTTGTACCACAGAAACCTAAAACAACGTATGTCGTCATGGGGAAAATTTTAAACGAGTTATGAAAATTTTCAATTAATTCTCCTTTTTCCCGAATCATGAATTTTTAAAGTAAGAATACAAGGAGTAAAAAGCGTTAAAACAATTCTTATATTTTATTTATTTACAGAAGGTGTTGATAGGAACCAAATTCTCCAGAAACATGCATTGTAAGTTTAAATCTGTAAAATTCGGCGTCCTTTTCTGACTGAAACGTCTTGGTACCAATATTGAGACCACATTTTACAAAAATTCTCTAAGTTTTTAGCTACTTTTTTATCAATCTATTGATAATCTTTGTCTAATTGATAAAGGAATGGATTGGGAGAGACCAACCACACTGCAGACCTGTATGTAGAAGTGCCTTCAGAAAATAATGAGGATGGTATTTAATCTAATAATAAATGCAAGGAAAGTGTAAGTAGGTTGACAAATCAACTCTTATTACAAGTAAGTAAGGTACAGTAAGACATTTTTGAAAAAAAAACCAAAAGATGTGTTTGTGAAACACTGATGCCCCCGTATGTAAAATTTTCTCAAATTTATAAAAATCAAACATGATGATACCAAAGTGACGCCTTCTCAAAGAAATAAAAATGTATGTGAAATATAAAACCCTAGCACCACCTGATCAAAATTTATGGCCCAGGTAAACGTTTTTTAAAGTTTAACTCCAGGGTCAAAGTTATTTGTTTCTAAAGAAAGGCATTGTCACAAAGATTATAAATGGAATATGGTAAGTATGAATGTCCTAGCACCAATGTAGTTCAAACGTTACTGCCAATGTTAAAAATTTTAAAGAGTATGTCAAACTCCAAGGTCAAAGGGTCAGAGTTCTTGATATCCAATGGAGGGTCTTCTCACAAAGATTACATATGTGAAGAATGAAAGCCCTATCCCTTAACGTTCAAAAGTTATAGCCAAGGTTAAAGTTTTTTTCACAATCGGAAATCTCCAAGGTCAAGGTCAAAGTAATTGGTATCCAATGAAATGTCTTCCACAAAGAATACAAATGTTTAATATTGAAAGTCTTAGTATCTACTGTTTAAAAGTTATGGCCAAGGTTAAAGTTTTTAAAAATTAGTTCAAACTCCCAAGGTCAAGGTCAAACTGTCAAAGGTCTTGCTATCAAATCAAAGGTCTTCTCACAAGGATTACATATGTAAAGTATGAAAGCACTAGCTCTAACCCTTTAAAAATTATGGTTAAGGTTAACTTTTTTCAAAGTAGGTCAAACTCCAAGGTCAAGGTCAAAAGGTCAAGGTTGTTGGTATCCAATAAAAGGTCTTGCCACAAAAATTACATGTGTGAAATATAAAAGTCCTAGTGTCTACCGTTCAAATGTTGTGACCAAAGTATAAGTTTTTATTAAAAGTAGTTAAAACTCCAAGGTCAAGGTCAAAGGGTAAAAGTTGTTGGTGTCCAATGAAAGGTCTTCTCAAAAAGATTACATATGTGAAGTACGAAAGCCCTAGCCCTCACCGTTCAAAAGTTATGGTCAAGGTTAAAGTTTTTTCATAAGTATGTAAATCTCCAAGGTCAAGGTCAAAAGGTCAAGGTTGTTGGTATCCAATGAAATGTCTTGCAACAAGGAATACATATGTGAAATATGAAAGTCCTAGTATCTACTGTTTAAAAGTTGTGACCAAGGTTAAAGTTTTTAAAAAGTAGTTAAAACTCCAAGGTCAAGGTCAAAGGGTATAAGTTCTTGGTATCCAATAAAAGGTCTTCTCACAAAGATTACATATGTGAAGTACGAAAGCCTTAGTCCTCACCGTTCAAAACTGATGGTCAAGGTTAACGTTTTTTCATAAGTAAGTAAATCTCCAAGGTCAAGGTCAAAAGGTCAAGGTTGTTGGTATCCAGTGAAAGATCCTGCCACAAACAATATATTTATGAAATATGAAAGTCCTAGTACCTTCCATTCAAAAGTTATGGCCAAAGTAAAATTTTGAAATTTCTGTGTATAAGTGGGTCAAACTCCAAGGTCAAGGTCAAAAGGTCAAATTTGGTGGTACCCAAAGAAAGGTCTTGTCACAAGGAATACACGTGTGAAATATGAAAGTCATAGCTCAACTAAATCAAAAGTTATGGGCAAGGTTAAAGTTTTTGTGACGGACAGACTGACAGACTGACAGACGGACAGACTGACAGACTGACGGACAGACGGACAGACGGACAGACGAATGAGATTTAATGTCACCTCGCTTTTGCGAAAGCGGGGGACAAAAATGTAAAATGCTTAAAATAAAAAGGCATTTGACAATGTTGAATTTCATAATCAAACGGGAAGTTTTCAGGACTCACATATTTGATTATGTACCAAACAACTGTGCTCGCCCTAGCGCTGTCGCACTGTCAACATATTGCTTAAAATTCAATACAAAGGAAATTCAAATTCAAAATAATTCTGATGAATTTCAAATCAATATGCTTAGCGCTTTCCAGTACTTTTAGTACTTTGATTTATTATGAAAACGTTGAAATTTCGTTATCATTTGTACTTCAATGGCAATTTACTTTCTTTGATTAGTACATGTACCTATATCACATGTAGAATAACTGCAGCTGGTAAAAGAAAAATTACTATTAATGTACTTATACTTACCCTTGCAAATGAATTGAATTGAAGTTCTCTCTTGAAATTATAAAATTTTATATTTAACAAATATCAAATATCTTGAAAGATTAAACGAATTGGAACACATTGTTTACTGATGTGCACAACTGTGTAACAGATAACAAATGTCCTTAAGAAAAGTTTGAATCAAGTCTATATACCCATTACTTTACAATACTACGACCAGTTGGTCAAAACATTCCGATCACATCTTCATTTGTGGTTCAGTGAAGCACAAACTTTACCAGAGTATACGTGAAGTTAGTAACTTTTCAACATTTTCTTGTATAATCTTTGTATACTAAACAAATACCAATATATTTTTTGTTGAATGAATATTTAATTTCCTGTTGTATTTTTTTTTCTTTTTAAAATTTCAAAATAGTACGAAAAATGATGATCAAAAGAATTCCTTTATTTAAGTGTATCACAAAACATTCTTAAAAAGAACGAGGGCGCTTTTGATTGCCATTCGGCAGGAATCGGCGCACTTGAAAATTTCATTGACATGTCACTTGAAATTTTGATTTTGATTGTCATTCGGCAGGAATTGGCGCACTTGAAAATTTCATTGACTTGTCACTTGAAATTTTTATTTTGATTGCATGCCATTCGGCAGGAATCGGCGCACTTGAAAATTTCATTGATATACATTTCACTTGAAATGTTCGCATTTTTAATGTATCAGAATCCTGAAAAAGAAGAAGCTTCTTAAATGTAAAGGGTTTCATGCATATTCAGCTTACAGTTATATAGCAAATACTTGTACGGTAATTTCTGGTAGATATATTGTAGAAAGACAGAAATAACTAACATTTGATAATTTCGACGAAGTTGGCGGGAGCTTATTGTCCTTTCTGACATAATTTATTTTATCAACAAAGTTTCAGTTGCTTCAATTTCAGTCAATTAAGGAATGACCGGGTTAGAGCAGGTTAAGGTTTTTGAGCAGGTCCTATTTCCAAGTACCTAAAAACCCTATGTTGATCAAATCTGTATTAGATGATACTTCACCTGACTTGTTTCGGTTGCTGGACCTGACTTATATTTTCCGGATGAGAGACCAGATTTGGTTTTAGAGCAAGTTCATTCTAAAGTAACAATAAGCCCTTTGATGACCAAACTTGCATGGATGATACATCGATCTAAGGATGCACAATGATTACCTGACTTGCTTTGGATGCTGGATCTCACCTTTATTTCTGAATGAGGGACCAAGTTAAATATTTTCTGGAGTAGGTTCATTCAAAGGTAAATATTTGCCGTATGTTGACCAAATTTGCGGCATGGGTACTACTTCTCGGGATGCATACCACTTGATTTTTTTTCTTGATGAGTGAATAGACTATCATAATTGCTTAGTGTTGCGTCTTGGGATATACATGTACATACTAGATTATCAGTGTAAAATGGGACTTTGCTTTACGCACTTAATTTTGAATTGAAATATTTTTTTTGCAGTTGATGGTGTGTATGCATTTTTTACGTCTGGATTTTGTAAAAAAAAAAAAAAAAGTAATAAATAAATAAATAATGAAATAAAATAAATAATGATTTAAGGTACTCAAGTTCAGAAAATCGTACATTTACTAATTGAAAATGCTCTCAATAATCTCTCCGAATTCTCAATCATGTGTTTTTATCCACGATTATTCTTCAAAATTAATTTTAAGTTAATCAAATTGTATTGGGAAAGTAGTAAATCTGTTTTGTCAGGAAATGCAAATAAAAACACATACAATATACATTTAATAAACAGACATATTAATTTAGACATTAGAATCATTTGGTACCCAGGCTTTTTGAAAAAAAATACACACTTCTTATATATAAAACATGTACAAGGTACTTTTAGTTTCTTCTATTAACTTCGATCAGTGTACTTTAGTATATTTAATTCAACTAAAGTTATGATATTTAACTCAATTGGCAAGCCTCAAGGAAATGAATTTAGTTTTAATGGTAATGTTATGGAATGCCATATACGACAGCCAACTGCTTAATGCCAACTGCTGACTGCTTACTGCCAACTGTAGGCAGCTTCCTGCTAACTGCCACACATATTTGAATAAATTTTATTTTTATATTGATAATTATGTGAATTTTCCAAAAAAAAAGAAAGAAAAAAAAAAACAGGCGCGGATCTAGAAAATTTTTTCCAAGAGGGTCACTGATGTTAAAAAAATATCCAACTTCAGATATTTCTTGACAAGAAAAAAAAACGTAAACTTAAGTCCTTTCCTTAATTTGAAAATTTATTTCGGCCGGGGAGAGGGGGTTCTCATGCGTCATACCTTCATGTCTATGACATTTTTATACCAACTTAACACGAAACCGCGTTTTCGGGGGGAGGGAGGGAGGGGGGAAGTTCTAAGGTCCCTTTAAGTTGATTTATTTTATACATTGAATAACTTTTAGTTGGTTTAGTTTGTGCATTAAATAACTTTACAAATTTCAGAGGGGTGGTCCGAACCTCTCTCTAGATCTATGCATGGAAAACATATCTTATTTGTAAAAACAAAGAGATATAAATGTTTGATCGGCGTTTTCTACGTGGAGGTTCTAAGATCAGTTTTAGTTCGTTTAGTTTATACATTAACCCATGACTGTACAAATTTTAAATGCCCCCCCCCCATCCCACCCCACCCCCAAGATATGTGCATGTGAAACATTATAACACACAGAGATATGCATCTTTAATTTGAGGAAAGTTTTAGCTGTAGAATATAATGAAAATGTAAACTTATTTTTAAAACATCTTTCCCTGAAAAACAACAATTTTTTTTTTCATTTTTCCCTCTTCAAAGGTTTTGTTGTCTCCGGGGGTTGGGGGAGGGTGTACTTCTTTAAAGATTAAAAGCAGAAAATAGTCATTTTATTACCTATTTCAAATAAGAAAACCAATAGAAAATATACTTTATCAATCGCATATATTGAATAAATATTAAATAGAAAAAACATATTGGTCATTTAATCAATTTAATTTTACCAGGATGACCCTCTTGGAAAAAATGTCCTGGATCCACGCCTTATGGAATGCCATATACGACAGCCAACTGCTTACTGCCAACTGCTGACTGCTTACTGCCAACTGTCAGCTGCTTACTGCCAACTGCCACACATATTTGAATAAATTTTATATTTGTATTGATATTTACATGAATTTTCACAAAAAGGGGAAAAAAGGGCACGGGTCCGGGACATTTTTTCCAAGGGGGTCACCCTGGTAAAATTGAATTGAATGAAATGACCAATATGTTTTATCTTATGTACATGTATATTCAAAATATGCGG